CAAGAGAGAGATTGTGGTAATATCTATGGAAGGAGGATTGCGTAACAATATGGCAGACTCTGATCAATATGACTAAGTTGCGAAAATAAGGTCAAACAACTTCTATACAACGAAAGAAGACTACGACCACACCATCTTGGTCTTCATACCTTAAAGAATTATAGTTTAATTTATAGAAGTGGGCTGACCTCGTTGCAACTTTGTCTTGTTTTTGTCAGGGGAACGCATCTAGTCCAAAGTCCTCTGCCATAGTAGTTATCCTAATTCCCAGCATCAGACAATGGGCTTTGTACATTCTCAAACGCTTCGCCCGCATCATCAGTGAGTGCTGCCAGGAGACTGCGACTATACCGGGGGCCGTACCATCTTGGTCTTCATATCTTCGATATACTTTAGTTTGTTCCACGCTTAGGTGAGTAGGCTTTACGATGCCAATACATGTTAAGGCTATCTCCTGTGCGGACTGCAGCTGGACCTCAAATTCACTGAAAAATTTATTTTACATGTAACTACAACTTTCTGTGAAATTTCTTTAATTTTTTCCTTTATTAATCTAGGAAATCATAATACTGGCTCCAACCCAACTTCTTTTAGAGACTATTTTCTCCTCCAAACCTTTTTCCTCTCCACTTCTGAGCGACTTCAGAAGAGTCGAGCTGGAGGCCGTCGGGGAGTACATTTTTAGGGATCGTATCCTCGAGGATTCTGCCTATTCTTCCCCATCCGCTTTTGGCTCTTCCCAACCTTCTGCTTTCAGGCTTCCTCATCTATTAGCTTTGCCATTTGGGGGCTATCAGTTTGATACTAACCGACTTTACCAGCACTTTCCTTTTATTTTTAATCTGCCGGCAGATGTTAAGCAGCTACTACTTACCGTCTTCAAATTGGTGGAATGCAAACAAACAATTCCAAAAGACTTGGTGTGAGATCGATGGTGTAAGGCCTACTAAACTTTATTTTTTTTATTCATTTATGCTCTCCTAAATTTACCATCTAAGATATATGCAGCTTGTACTGACTTTGAAAAGTCGCATCCAACCAAGCATTGATTTTTTACCACTACTTTACTTTTTCACCAATGTTATCTTATTTTGCAGAATTTGCTACGCTTCTCAGATCATGATGATTGATATATCGAATTATTTTTCTTTTTTTATACGTTTAAGAGGCAACGCGGACATTTTTTTACTTAATATACTAAGATATTCATTGCTCTATACTTTTTATACCTGCATTCTTAGGCATAGAAAATATTCCCTTTTTAGGGGCTTCAATATTTATAGCCTTACAATAACTAGTATCACGCCTCTTACATGGAGGACTACATTACTTATTTTCATTTATAAGCAGAGTTTCGAGACTACCAGTAAATCAGCGACATGAGCTGTTTGCACTCTATTTTGTTCAAGATGAAAGTCTTGTAGTTTAATTTTCCCACAAAGCTTCCAGTGAATCTTACCTAGCCTTGATTTGTAGTCTCTAAAATTAAGTAGTCGTCGAATTCTATAGCAACTACAAGTTTGCTTCATCTAAAATCTTACCACAGGATGTGATATTGGATAATGCCTGGCTTTCCTTGCAATTCAGATCTTCCCTGCGACTTACGGATATTCATGGTAATGTGGGTTATAAGTTACTCTCTGGCGATTACACACTACATTGTCATTGTTTGAATTCTGCTGAAGTTGCTGATTATACTTAGGCGAGGTCGAATTTGCAGTTCACCCTGGATGGGAACGTAATGTCTGCTCGTGACTTTGAGGGAAAAATTCAGCTATCGGTTCGTCATCACCTTAAAAGAAATATGCTAACACAGCTCATTTGATTTACTGGTAGTTTCGTAAACCTATTCACAATGAAAATTATAAGGGAGATTTGTTAACCCCTACACAAGAGGTTGTCAGAACGCAAAACCGTCCGCTAGAATTTATGGATAAAAAAATCGGAGGTCTCTAAACATGATCACTAAAGAACACCACGTAGAGTGGTCTAAAACCCAATATCTTGCCGGATATTGGAATGACTAAGCGGAAGATCGGGGAGTTGATTAAAATAAAAATAACGAAGAACATCCTGAATAAGTGGAACGAATTTACGAAACTAGGCTAAAACTATTTCCTGATGCTGGATAAAATCACTATTTCTCACACTTTCTCACTAGTTATCATATCTTCTTAGAAAAAAGGCATGATGTAAAAATTAGGACATCAGAAAAGGTGTCAATTTGTTTATCCTTGATCAAATATTCACAGTCTAAAAATGAATTCTGTAAAGATATATTATTATAAATTAGACACAAAAGATAATTATTTTTGAGGACTAAATCTCTCAGTCGTTCCACCCTTTTATTATAATGGTTACTATCCGCTTGTCTCACGCTTCTAATAATCATTGGTTCCAAGATCCTAACCTTACTTTTGTTCTATGGTCCCGGGCAGGGTTTCTTCTTAGGTCATTAAGACATGCTGATTAGAGCCTGAGATTAGGTTCTGATTTATGGTCGATATTGCGTAGGCGCTAACATGCACGTGCACACCTACTTGAGTAAACGTAGAATGATCAAGAAAAAGATAATTAGCCAAACAAGTTTGTGTCTATCTATGCCTATACAATTTCATCTTTTAGTTTTGTATATATATATATAAGAGGAGAGAAAGGGCCGGATAGTATTCTTGACCTAGTATTAATGTGAGACTTA